TTCACCACCATGTTGAATTTGTATCTTCTCAAGCCTTGGAGTTATTGGGTCTTATTCGTGCTATAACTTTTTCTTTTTCAACTTTGGACAGTCTTTATATGTTATATTTTAGTCTAGTAAAATCTAAGCTTGAATATGCCTCAGTTGCATGGAATTCTTTAACTTCTGCTGACACTTGTAAGCTTGAACGCCTACAGAGCAAGTTCTTATCCTTGTGTTACAATCGTTTCCTTCTTCATGCCCGTTATCACTACGCCAATGCCTTAGAAATCCTACATTTTCACACTCCTGGCACTAGGAGGAGTCATCTAGACGCCCTATTTCTTATTAACGTATACGCCGGATATAAGTTCTGTCCCTCCTTACTCGAGACTGTTGGTGTGCGTGTCCCATTTCGTAATTTTAGAGATTTCTCACTTTTTACTGTTGGCCCTGAATGCAAAAGTTGTCCATCTGCTAGAGGCGCATCAGCTGCGAATAATCTTTGCAATGATTTTGACATCTTTAGTAACCATTTGCCTACTCTTAGGCATATCCTAAAGTAGACGGTATTGCTTCATTTACAAATAATCATGTAATTTTTTTGCTTTGTTTTAATTATTAACCTGTCTGTTGCTAGGAACTTTATTATTATTATTATACGATTATTGTATTTACTTTGTTTTTTGTGCTGTATCTGTAATTGGCCGTCTGGCTATTGATGCAGCACTCTAATAAAAAGAATTGAATTGAATAACATCAACAAAGATAGACGGTCTATTTAGGAATACGTAGACAAGATTCAACTGCATCAAAAACAAAAAATAGGGTTCAATATTTGGCTCTTGTGAAACCAGTGATAAAGTTTCCAGTTCTATTACAGCACGGAAAGTCTTTACAAAAATATTAACTTTCACCTTTCAATGAAAAATGGACTTCCTATTTTAACTAGATTGAAATTTAATGACTTTGCCTTCGTGTTAGTACCTTATTTACACCGAATGTAGCAGAAACGAATCGTAGCGATCTTAATTCCGCAGAAGAGAAACGACAGTGGATACTTGGTTTTAACATAGAGCGCAAAACATAAAACAGAACTTTTGCTCTATCATTGTCTACACTCTGAATTCGAAACTTTTCAAGGCGATGTCCATGACATACATCTGTCGATTCTATTAAAATTTAACTTGCTTTCTAGTTATAGTCTTCGAATCACATTAAAAATAACTACTGTTAATTCTAATCGGACGGGTGTATCAAACGAGAAATGACATTGCCACTTACAATTGAGGATGTAACATTCTCAAGTTCTTACAAAGCGTTCCACACGATCTTCATACAACCTGCCTGTTGTTTCATGCCATGTAGAATAATAACAAGTAGGCGACAGAAGTATGCTACGCCCCGCAGACGTAAATGGCTCTAAACGTCACAGCTTGCATGAAAAGAATAGGTTATGTGTGACAGAGAACATGTATCTTATCAACAAAGCAATAACTTCCGAGTACTCCAGCATTCTGCATTGTAAATAAACTAAAGCTTTAGGATAATAACTGGTCCCAGTGTCCCACAACTCGTGTGCCGCCACAAGATTTTAGGCGTGCCTCGATTTTTTTTATAATAAATAGTATTTTGTTGACGTTCTTATTTAACATTAAAATTAAAAGGGCCTTATAATGACCAAGAATATTTTAAATGTTAAGTTAAAAGTGCTAAATCTCCTAAGAATATGCAAAATGCATTTAACAAGTGCAGTACGCATGAGGAAGTCAAGAATTTCAATTCAATCCAGTTCTCTATTATTAGTTTGCTGTATCGACAGCCTGATGGCCAATTACAGATACAGCACAGAGATGAGCAGACGAACACAATAATTTCGTAAGTAATTTTAATGGAAACATCCTCAAGGACAATGACCACTCAGAAGATTTAGACGTAAATGGACAGGATAATACTGAAATGACTGTAGAAGAAAACCATGTGAGGTTGTTGAGTGAAATCATGAGGCTCATGACAGATTCCAGTGGTGGGTTGCCGTGAACATGGTATTGACCTTCGAATTCCAGAAAAGGCGGGGAAGTTATTGGCCAGTTTAGTAACTATCGGCTTCTCAAGGATAACTTCTCTTCCTGGGGTTACTTAAACAGATGTATAAATGACACTCCATATTTACGTGTTATGAAACTGTGTCCGTGACGATAAGGGCAGCATTTTTCGCCCTTATCTCCGTCACGTGTAACGTAGTTGTAGGTCAGCGAGAGTAGATGATTACGTCGAGTGTCTTATCAGAAACATCGATTTTCCAGAGGATGCGATATGCGTTTATCCCTGATTAAGAGGAATTTTATTTGCTAGCTGATTTTGTCCTGGGCCTGAGCCTCTGGTAGGCACGTCACGTTCTCCTGAATGAAGTTGACAAGTTCTGCATTATGACGACTAGTGAATCTGGAGCAACATCCCGGATGCACTGCACTGCACGTAACAGCACTGCATTATTTAATGACATTGTTTTGTTGCAAAGTTAATGAAGTAAAATCATAAACCCATCGTTCTACGTGAAGAGGATGTACTTGTTCATTATAATCCAATTTTATCTCATTTTGTCGAATGCAACAGACGATAAATGAATGGCCTATTAGGACTGACTAGACATTCAATAATTTCAGTCACGAATTGTGTTAACTGTGCCAGAAGATTATTGGATGTAATTTCTTATGAGTAACAAAGACAGATCTTGTGAAACTACAGAAATTTGTTCTGTATTTTGTTTTATAAATATGGCCAATAATAAATCCCGTTCTTGCATTGTTGTGGATGCTGTTTCTTTATGTATTTATGAGCAGTGATCTGCCACGTGCTTGGAGCTGACTAGCTGGAATAAAATTCAAGCTTAGAGATTGCCTTAAAAAAATTAAATATGCTGAGTAGTGATTATATATGGTATTGTAGGTGTAAATTTCATTAAAGCGTCGTTCTGTAATCTGAGAACCTAAACCTCAATTTCGGAGTATTCGTCCTTTAGACAAGTCGCGTTTACCACGGCTACATAGTCTCTCTGTTCACTGAACAGTTTAAAATATTCATGACAAACAGTACCAAAACACCAGCAGGCCTAAACTGAATCACTTCGCTTTATTCTTGCCTATTTACTTTTAACGTGTTAGTACAAGTTTCCTTCACTCTGATACTGAATTGAGTCTTCATATTTTTGGACTCGTGCTTCAAACAAGGCGAATGAAATTCTTTTGTAGTTTATTGGATTGCTTCAGAACATGCACAAAGTCTGAGACAGGCATGGCCCAACAATCATGGAAAGTCGTGAATAACTAAAAATAACACATAGATTCTCCAAGCCGTGCGTAAACGCCAACGTGTGTATCTATTGCATCACGCCATTCAGATTATTCCTAAGAAAACTTCAACATCACAAAACACATTTAGAATAAAATTACTTTAACCAATGTTCGGGAAATCCCTCTATTGGGCCCCATCGTCATCAGAACATGTTCTGATGACGATGGAGTAAAGGCAGTTTTCAGTTTATTTTTATTCTTTCTTATGTATTATTTTATGCATTTTCCTGTAATATGCATTCCTCTAAACAGAAAATTTTAACAAAATATATATTTATGTCCGCATCTACCAGACTACACGGCGCTGTAACCCAGAAAACTTGCACCTTCGGACTCAGAGCCTCACCTCAAATCTTACTCAGTAAAATGAGTTCATTTTAATGCTAAGGAGGTATTTTACTTATACTGCTGAATCCTGCATCAATGCCAGAAGTTCTTAGATCAAAGGCAAAGGCGGCGAGAGAGAGAGAGAGAGAGAGAGAGAGAGAGAGAGAGAGAGAGCGCTCTGATAGCCGTAACTGACGAAACCTTACGTCAACAGACACATTATTTTAAGTAATGTCTGATATCTTTATGCAAAGCTACTTCAACTTCTTGCTGTGTACAAACGAATAAAAGACGTGACATTCATTAGCTGCTGGTCTACTGGTGCCCGTACGGCGTGCCTGGCCGAACAAGTGAATGGAGCTTAATTTTGTTTACTTTACAGGATTGACTCAGTTCTTACCGAATTGAATCGTACCACGAAAATATGAGTGTACTCCGAACATATCAGCTTTCTATACCCCCAAAATTTGCGCCGAGATTATCAATCTAATGCAGCGTAAAAATGATGTATAACCATGAAGGCCTAATATTATTGTTCCAACACTGAAAAACAGAACTGAAGTACTGTTCTGAACCAGTTCAGTCCATATCAGATATTTTCAATCTGTAGGCTATCCTCCCATCTCCTGCTCGGCCATCAAAGTGGGCAGTTTCCCAAGCGGTATCGCCATCAACATAGGCAACGTACTTTGAACCCCAGGCCTAGCCACCTGCTCAAACCCACTTCATCTCTGTCAGGAAGGATTCACATCGACGCAATTGGCAACAACCAGAAGGCGACACATGTTGCTTGTAGAAATATCATGAAATACAATGTGAAGCATTGAAACGAAACGACAGCCAAATCGTTTTTTAAAATCGTCGCTCAGTGACAGGCGACACGTATCGAAAGCAACTTCTCCATTTTTCGCCGCGGAGCGATACATATCGTCTATCGCTATAGAGAAATTGTTTGTGGTACCTCATTGCACCATCCAACGGACCATCTTGTGTGCAGCGCTTTATTATAGACAGTAATAATGCTACTGACGAACAAATAACTATAAATTTCGTTCAAAATATAGAATATGTACTATTTATTGATTGTTTAATTTATCGATATTTTCACAGAACTACAAATTTCATTGCCTTTGTGTCAATGTACAGGCGATATATCGCCTATCGCTTGTTACTATTTATTACTTCGGTGTAAATCCTGCCATAGATGTACAATACAATTACTACAATATCTCTACATTGCTTACTGTATGAACATTTTATACACAGGCGACAATATGGTACGACACTGTCTCTGAAAAATTTGCAGCATAAGACATTCTTGTTGTAATTAAGAATACTGACCAATATGACTCATAAGTTGCTCCAAATCTGAGTCGGCGTTCATGCTGGAGTTCAGGTTTCCTTGCCGAATCACACAAAATTTTATATCATGCGAATTACAATTACAGAAGTACACACAAATATCCAGAAACCATTTAAAGTCCTTTCGGTTTTAAGAGTCCGACTGACAGCGGGCTCTGTTCGTATGCTTCCTCTCCAACAGCATGCCAACCAGCGACGCGCACTAAATGCATTGACGTCTCTACAGAACTCTATATTAACGTCGTCGGTTTTATAAAGTTCACTGCGCAGGCGTCAGTGTGCCGCACTCTCCTGTACAACAGCATGAAAGAAAGAGTAAAAGTACGCGGCCCGAAAAACGAAATTGGTCTCGACTCACACTACAATGATCGCAGTTTAACCCGTAGAATTCGTGAAAGGCCCAAATTGTAGAATATTCTCCCTAAAATCCGATTATGAAACTAATGATTTTTTTATATTCTGCGAATCATTACCAATACATACTACTGGTTTGATTTCTAATAGGGACAGGCCGTACAGCATAAACCCTAAATAGTTCGTGATGATAAATCATTTCGAAAGTGAAAATTAAACTGGATGGTCAAAATGGTGTCAGTGGTTTAGTAGTACTCTAATGTGTATTTATGTGTATATGCATGTTTATGTATGTGTATATATATATATATATATATATATATATGAAGAGAATGATTTGCAGCAAGAAAGATGCCACAGAAATTGAAGACTGCTCTGGATGAGACAGTTAAAATTGTCAAATTTATAAACACTCATCCTTTAAATTCTCACACTTTTAATGCCCTTTGTCGAAAGATGAGTAATGCACACGAATAACTGCTAATATGTTTCTTGTGTTCACTGGTTCTCAAGCAAAAAATATTTATTCCCTTGTTTATGTTGTGGGATGAAACACGAATACTTCTCAGTGATGTTACAATTCAAAGAAGCGTGTGTGTGTGAATGACCTAAATTTGATCACACAAGAAGAGTTGAAATTTAACTCTTTTTAAATTTGAATATAGAGCGGAACCTGCGCGACGCCAGGAGCGTTTGCTATTGTCACCCTGCTTTATAGACATACAGACGTGCTCGGCTGGAAACCATAAAAAGGCAAGAATTGACGTTTCAGGATTTCTCATTACGCTACTAACAGACGAACGCAGGATGTTGTGCAGGTCATTGATCATCATGTATGTCATCTGTGATTCATTCTTTGACGTGCACAAATCGCCAGCGTTCAGATACCTCACTACAGTTGTAACAGTCTCTTTTGTCACAGGAATTCACTGAAAATAAAAGGGAAATGTTTACACTACAATGTTTGCATCACTGCAATTACACGTGTGAATCTTCTGCTTCAGTTGTTTTGTTGTTTTCTTAGTGTGGAGTGTAGGGTGTATATAAATAAATAAATAAATAAATCTAGAGCTGTGTGGAGCTTGAAAACATGCCTGTTATGCAAAGGATTGTGTTAGTAACGTTAAAATAATGTCTGCCTTTGTTGTATTTTAGAGAATAATTACGTGAAGAGGACATCCTGAAATCAAAATCTCATTGCTCTTGGTTGGATGATTTAAGAAGGGCTGCGTCGGGTTCATGTTGATTCCTCCCACTACTGCCAGTGAATGACTGCGTGTCTTGCACGTTACGATTTATTTCTTACATAGCTCACATATGTTACAAACGCAGTTCTCTTCAGATGTGTGGTTATGTTTTGTTCTACATTCTTTGTGGTAGAAACCAATCGCGTGGTTATGTTCTTAATATGAGTCTAGATCCTGTTAATTATCGAATAAGAATAGTAGAATTCCTGTATCTTCATTGCTATTTCTCGGAATATGACTTTCAGGTTCCTTATTTCTAGCATGGCTGTGACATGGCACTGATATCTGCCTTTCCTATGCTTTCTGAATGTCTTTCCAGTAGTTTCCAGGATGGGGTCTTCCTCAAGACGTAATTGTCATTTTTCAATAGTTCTGATACAAGATATTTTGGATTACAGAAATTGGCCAAGAACCACTTGCACCGCTTTATATGATTATAAGCTAAAATGAAAGTATTACTATATAAATCAGTTACCACTGTTACAAACAGCCTTTTGCCTGTGATAGAGTATTGCTCTGTCTCATTCTCAGTGAACCTGAGTACAAACATAATATTTATTATTTTTTAAAAATTTCTTTATTTGGCAATGATGTGTAGACCATCTCTACCTTGATGTATATTGAGTAGCCACCACTGATCTTGAAATGTAACCAATACAACAATTTTTTAATGGCTCAGAATTGGTGTATAAAGATGGTTATGTACATATATTTATTTTTCTATTTCCTTTTCAGGAAACCAACAACTCATAGGTCAAAAAGAGCCCTCCTGGCCAGGGAACCAAAATTGGTGGAGAATACCAAAAATGCATTGTTTATTAAAGGTAGAAAGACCAGTGGGATGGTAGTAAACTGTATGAAAGACTTGGTAAGGATTCAGGATATTTGAATTTACTCCGCATTTAAAATGTGCTTCAGATCTTACTAACAATCAAATCTGTATTTGTATTGTTTTTGGTCTTTTACACAAATCATTCATTCTAGTGTTGCATCTCAAACCAAGAAAATATAAGATTTTTTCCTTTCTTATACTTATCTTTAGAAAATTATTAATGCATTACTGTCATTTTTCAGTATGATATAAAGAAGCCACATGGAAAGATACTTAATAGACAAAATGACATCTTGCCATTTGAAAATATTACACCTGTTGAAGAATTCTCAAGAAAACATGATGCTTCTATGTTTATGTTTGCATCCCACAACAAGAAGAGGCCACACAATCTCATATTGGGTGAGCCTTAATTGGGAGGAAATAACCTTTAAAATGTATACAGATCTTGACATAACAGACTGTTGTTGTTTTATACGTGCTGCTTTCTTAGCATTTTCAATAAGAATGTTTTAAGTATTTCTATAGTTTTTCCATCATTCTTGACAGGTAACTTACTAATTTAAAAATGACATAATTAAATGCTTGCCAAACTCAGTCTTTACTCCATGAAGAGTAGTAATATTTGAATTCTTGTTGCAGGCCGTATGTACGATAGCCACATCTTGGATATGGTTGAATTCGGTATTGAACGTTACAGAGGATTAAAGGAATTTAAAACTCAGAAGGTATCCTTGGGAATTAAGCCATGTCTGTTATTTGCTGGAGAATTATTTGAGCATAATCATGAGTACAGACGAATAAAGAACTTGTTGGTTGACATGTTCCAAAGGGAGAAAATTCAAGCAGTGAGACTCCAGGGCCTAGAACATGCTCTTCTATTCACTGCAGCAGAAGACCAGATATATTTACGCAGCTACAGGTATGACATTTCCCCTTTACATGGCCACCATCACCAGATGGGCCAACCTTCTGTATTACTAATATGTAGCATTCCGCGTTGTTTATCCCTGTAATATATAACTCCCAAGCATCTATCAAGGTGTTCACTTTGAGCTGATCCATGGAATTAAAGCCCCTTACTACACCGAGTAATTATTACTACGTATGAGGCAGTCAAAGTTCATTGGAAGGCCTTATGAGAAACTGACCATTGTACATTCATGCAACACCTACATATCATGGGCCTGTTGGAAAGAGCAAGTGCAGGAAATGTGGTTAGGATCAGTGCCTCTCCTTAACCTTGAGCCTACCAGCACATGGCATGGTGAGATTGAAATTATTGGTTTGAGAGACCGAGGAATAAACTACTTGATCCCTACCTAGCCTGCTGACATTCCCAGATGAGCTTTGACATTACCATTGATGTCTTAAGGGCCCACAAAACTGCCAGACTATATGAGCCTGCCTGTAGACCCCTTGCCTACCAAAACATTCCTTTGTGCAACTAGTGTACTGGCTTGGGTATGAAGATAATTCTTGACTATCCTCCAAGGTAATGGAACATATCAAAGAGCAATATAGGCTCTAAATATCTTAATTACCAAACTGATAATGGCCTCTAGGCCCTCTTCTAACAGAGCCAGGAAGACAACGCTGGGTGGACAGTTTTACATAGAAATTCAATATAAGATTTAAACAAAGTCTGTTTATTCATTCTTGAGTTTCATGCATAGGGATGGAGTAATTTTGTGTCTGAAGTTTATTAGGAATATGAACCACTATGTCAACTGATGGAAGATAAAGTAAAGAACTGACTAATGTTGTATATTGAATCTGGGAATAAGAGGAAATGAACTATTCGTGAGCAGATGCAAACACATATATGACAGTGTTTTAAACTAAGTAGTTGTGATTCTTAATTAAAGTATGCATTGCAGAATACAGCTGAAGAAATCTGGAAGCAGAATTCCTAGAACAGAACTTGAAGAAATTGGTCCATCAATTGACTTCAAAGTGAGAAGAACAAAGATTTCATCTGATGACTTGTTCAAACTTGCTTGTAAGAGACCCAAGGAACTGAAGGCAAGTATATTTAAAACAGGAAGGATTTATGTACTTATATTGTCACTATAACTATAATTTTGTTACACAAAGAGAACATAACAACAGGTAATGCAAATATAGATGAACAAAGACTATATTATGATGTGATTTTTTTTCTGTAACAGGTGAAGAAGGTCAAGAATATTTCAAAGGACACATTTGGAACTCAACATGGACGAATTCATATTCCAAAACAAAATATTAAGAGATTACAAACCCGAAAAATGAAAGGCTTGAAGAAAACAGTCCTTGAAAAGGAAGAGCAAAGGAAACAGAGGTCTGTTGATGCCAAAACTGACATCCAGACCTGAATATATAATGAATTATTCTCTTTCTTCTACATACACACAAAATATTTAGAGCAGTACAGAATTTCTAATCACACTGGTATTATTGGTGACAGGAATTACTAGTACAAAATTAATGTCTTTTCTAATAAAATATGGAAATACTAAAACATCAAAATGCTCAGTACTTTAACCTTATGAAATCATTAATTTAAGTGTACTTTCCACCAGTATCCCTAATAAAAGAAATCGGTGTTTCCCCCATAATAATATAATTGGATCATCACTTGCTTGTGATGTTTAGTACATGGTTTTAATGCTTTAAAATGGCTGCTAACATATAGATACACATAACGAACAAAAACATATATTGAACAACGTCCTGGAATGAAACTCGTTCGTAAACCGAGAGTTGCCTGTATTGTCGAGGGCATTAGATACACATAACGAACAAAAACATATATTGAACAACGTCCTGGAATGAAACTCGTTCGTAAACCGAGAGTTGCCTGTATTGTCGAGGGCATTAACTAATGTAAAGGTAAGTGAATTGCCGCGCCATCTATTGGGAAGTTATTAATTAATGGGCGCGCTAACATTTTCTGACCCGTTTACCTCCTTGAGTATCCTGTAACCCGGATAGAAGCACCGAAAACTCAAATCTAGGTGACCTGCTTCGCCCTCTATTGGCAAAGACACGGAACCAATGTAAAGATAAGTGAACTGCCACGCCATATACTATTAGTCCTTTGAAGTCAAACCTCATCTAGAAAACACTATATGGGGGGAAAAAATTGCTTGAAAATGTTGTTTAAGGAAATAATCTCTGGTTACACTGAGGATTATACAAACAGGATGTGTGCATGCAAGCTTAATCCAACTTGCTCAGAATATGATCAAGTAGCAGGCTGTTTGAACACAATATTGAACCTTTTGATACCATAAAAAGCAAGGAATTTCTTGACCAGGATCATGTACTGAAGAATTCTACTCCATTAAGACAAGCCCCCTTTAAATAACATAAAGCTTCAACTTTTAACCCACATGCACTTACTACAGATCCATTATCAAACACCCTTAAAACTACTTTGTAGCTAAGTATCGTGTTGTATGTTAACCAGGCAGGAATCTTTTCCACCACCCACAACTTGTGCAAATCTTTAACAATGCTTTTATTTTATACAGTTAATGCAAGTAATATAGTGACATTTCAACCACGTATGGTTATACTCAGGCTACAGCCAAACCTTAATTAGAAACTACTTCACCTGTTTGCTATGTAGCATATATATATGTTATAAAAATATACACATCAATTCAAGAAGATACAATACAAATAATAAATTCAGTAGTAATACTGTTGCAAGTGACATCACATTAAGTTGATACAATACACATGATTTTTAAAATTATTAAACTTTTGAGTATTAAACCTTAAAACAAAGTATTTCCAACCCATTTGAATGTAGCAATGACGTCATATAGGTACTAAGCTTAAAGTAATTCTGTTGCAAATTTCATGCCTCAAGTCATGGTTTATGTCTGTGGACATATTAAAAATAAAATCAATTCACTACCTTACATAAGAGTTACAAACAGAATGCATTTTAAACCTTATATAATCTAAACTATTCAACCATAAAAAAATTATATAAAAGACACATTTATACTGTAATTTTGATGGAGAATTTAAAGTCTTTTAAATAAACATCTTGATATCAGTAGTCCATGTATGTTACAAAAAGTATGTTAACATATGAAAGGGTAAGGTGAAGTGCAGACAGGCAGGTGCATAACCTGGAATTGAATAGTGGAGACAGAATGTGGTATTTACTGACACCTCTGTGTTCTTGACTTCTTTTGACTTTTCTTCTTTGTAAGTTTAGTAATAATACATTAACAACAGGGCAAGTAAATTCATATGCTATTAAAACTATTGTATCAAATTTCTCATGCATAAAACACATAGATAAAATCCTCTTAGACTATTAGCCACGTAAATTCAGAGCAGAAGTTCAACACTTCAGACATTCTCTGTCACTGTCATCAGGGATGAAGGAGACAGTTTCTGAAACAATATATTTTTGCTTTAAATTGACATGGCTGATCACTCTGGATGATTTTATCACCTTCAGTCACCATGAAAACTTCAAGTCTTAAATGGTCATGGAAAGTGAACAGTACATTACTGAAGCTTATGAAAAGGAAATAATTATATAAGAGTAGGGTATACCTTACAATTTAAACACACTGCAGTATCACAGAGATAAAAATGTATTACAAATAGTAATATAATCTCATAACCAGATCCTTATTTAGTACATGTATAAAATATTCTAGTGCTGAATTAAGGACTGTACAACCATGGTGTTACTTAGTTATCACCACATTAACATTTATAATACTTTTTATTGCACTACTTTTGGGGAGCATTATATTTTTTCATAAACAATTTTTTAATGATCATTTTACTAAATTTCTTAACAACAGTTCATACGTTTCTCATTAAATTCTCTACTTTTTTGATAAGTTAAACGAGTTAATTGAAGTCAGGCATTGAAGCAAAGCAATAGCTTTGACTAGTTTAAATGGTATGAAAATATAAGAAAGTTTCTACTTCTTCTCAATGCAAAATTTAATCAAAATTCTATCACAGGGACAGCCACTGAAACTAAATCAGAAATGGAAGGACAGAAGACATTTTAACACTGATTTCTATTCCACTTACAAAACAAATGAACCCTTATATATAAAGAAAATGCAATGAAAACCTGAACTGTGAACCAGTTTTATTATTTCAATGCCATTACCATTTCTACTCCAACCTGCATAATCATGTCTTTGACATTGAAGGAAATGAAAAACTGTAATTTTTCAAAATGTAAAAATCAATGCCATATTAGTAACTCCCAAATATTAACAAAACTGAGCACATAAATTAAAATTAAATGTAATTTCCCAAAATGACAATTCAAAGTTATATTCTATACACTTCATAAGATTCTGTTTCATCTACCTACTGATAACTCAAGGCAAGAATCAGCATCAAAATTGAACTACACTAATAAAACTCAATATCAAAAGAACTTAAAACTTTGGCAGGATACTGGTAGTATAAAATATTTCTATGCAACTTCATTGAAATCATGTGATTTTTACAGATGTTAATTATAAATACTGACCACACAAAAGTAATGTTTTGAATCCCCAATTCTCAAAAGACACCCACAATTATCTCCTAATATTATTTTAAGAAACACTGAAAATTAAATCAGTGCATATTAATATACTTACCATCAATATAATAATATTATTAGCCTGTACAAGTCCTTGCTTACACAAACATCACCTCAGTACATTATGGAACAGAGTCCTGATATTACGATCTATGTATGTCCTGTGCCTCGCAGAAATTATAATACTGCCCCTTCATTGTGAGTTACAAAACAGGCTTTAGGGAATGTCTATAGCAAAATAATCTAAAATACAGTAAGTTGAGACCAACTCACATAATGCACTTACACAGTTACAGTATTTTATAGCAGCTTCTAAAATATAAGTGGAGTTTGTGACAAAGTTCAAGAAATGTGGTAGTCATAACCAAGGCAAGCTTTTCAGTAGGTATGCATCAACAGGGATTCCAAATGATGTCATAAGCTGAATTGAAATTTATCATTAATGAGACACATGGAAACATTCAGAAATATTAAGCTTGTTGCAAACACAAACTATTAAAAAAAATTTCAGAGGCCACAGACTGCTCATCCCTGACCTACTCAGATAACCATTTGTAATTAAATATTATCTGTAGTAAATATAGAAAAACTGTAATGAATGATGCTACCATTATACAAATTATTAAAATTTGTTTCAACACAATAAGACTGGTTGTTGCTGCAAAGCTGCCAGTAATTCCTACAACACGTTTGCACTATATTTTTATAACCTGACATGTACTCGACTCTCAATACAAAAATAATGCCAAATTAGTATTTTGAGAAATCATTCCACTAAAATAACTTAAATTATACAAGTTTGATAGCTTTTGTTATATAGAACCAAGAAACCATCAGAAAGATAATCTACATATTGTCCCCTGCTCCTGCCACCCCCCCTTTTAGTATTAATAATGTGGAGTAGAAACAGGGGCATTACACAAGTAAATATGGTGACAAATGGATGTTAATTATAGATTGAGTCTACACATTATACAACTATGGCAGTTCATAATAATAGGCTTAATGTATCAACTGCAGGAATTGACATAATAGGGAAAACATTGCCAGCAGTATGACAAAATGAAGCAAGGAAGAAGATACTGTACTCACCCAGGGCAATGAGTAACACAGCACTACGTAGTATTATGTAAGGTCAAGAGTAAAATCTACATTGTCCCCCCAGTGTACACAGCATCAGCCAACTTTGCTGTCTCATTATAACTTGGAACCAAATAGTACACCTTAGTTGAACTACATGAAGTTCCTATTTTATTACAGGGACTGCATTGTCAATGATCTTACATGATGTAACTCTCTTCCAGAAATAAGGAGTTGGGGTAGCTCAGTCAGTACAGTGACTGACTAGTACTGGACAACTGGGGTTTGATCCCTGACGGGGCAGAGGATTTTTCAACTAGTCTCTGCATCCAGACCAGTTCTGGGGCCCACCCAGCCTCCTATCCAATGGGTACTGGGGTCCTTTCCCAGGGCATGATAATGACCACTCATTCGTATCCAGTGTCGAGGTTAAGAATGATTAGGAGCTATACTTCCTCTCCTGCCAAGAACTTACATGGTATATGGTGGGACAGCTTTGTTTATGTTACTTTTACTGTTCCAGAAATACAGAACCAGATAACCTGTGTACAAATAAAGTGGCAACAGTAACGAAAATTATTGCTGCAGAAATATGCCGATATTATACAGGCACACGTTTTGAGGTATGCCATAATACCCATGTAAATTTTTCAAGAGACTGACAACCTGCCATTTTAATATATTTTAATTGTAAATATGTTAATACCATTTATAGACACAAATGAATGTAAAAAACGTGTTATAGTCAAGAAAATGTTTCGTGTCATAGTTTTTTTTAAGTACTGTTTAAAATCTGGGTATAACATTTTGCTGTGCACAGCATGTTTGATGCATGGCATGTAGAACACATATGCTGGCAAAACAATTCATGCAGCCTGCAGATGATATGAAATGGATACTGTGCTAAACAATGAGAGCTCTTCCTAGTGTCTTGGTACCTTCCACAGCGTATTTTATTTACCGAATCACATGCAGAGGCACAGCCATATTTTTGGGTAGCCTTTTAAGTAAGTCATCTCCCAGTTGCTTGGACACCTCCAGCCAAGTGTATTTGTCAATGATACCAACTTCTTCCAGAGCTTTCCGAAATGAGACAAGGACAGTAAGGCACAAACCATCATTTAATGCCTCAGGCTTTCCACAATGTTCTACTGCCAAAATTCCATGAGGTTTATGAGCTGGTAGGTCTGCACCAAATATTTCCTTTAAAAAAAATGTGACATGAGATTCCATGCAATTGCGAAAAAGGTATAATATGCAATGTAATCATTAGAATTCCCATTCTTACTCATCAAGAAGACATTCAATACATAAATGCCTGCTATATGCTTAATTAACGAAACTTACTGTCATGAACTTATTTAGTGTTGAATGAACATTTCTAGTTGGATTGATCTCACATACTGGTAAGTGAACTTCCGTCTTTTCAGATAGAAGAATGTGAACACGATTACTAGAAAAGAGAACAGTTACATATGATTAAATTCATATTATTATTATTATAAGCACTTAACTAAAATATATAATGAAGAAAAACAGAACCACTTAAAACCTGCAGCTTTCTACAGTTAATAATAATTTTTGTGAGAAAAATGTTAATTATAAAACAGAAACAATATGAACATAATTATTTTATTGCTGGATACACAGTCATGTGGGTATTTAAAATTCACAGCCAGCACACTTAAATTTTACAACATATCAGACTACACAGCGCAACAACCCAGAAGACGGAAATCTTCATATTCTGAATATTTTAAGGTGGCAGGCAAAATAAAGCCCTTGGGAACAGAGAGGTTCAATGTATAAAGTATTACTGAACTACATTTACAACAAGGAATTAACAAATGTATATTACAGCTACATACTGAACAATGATGGTTTATGAATTCCTGCCTTTTTGGATATGTTTCTTTTTTCTTTTCAAGATACAACAGTAATTTCCACTAGATTACAAATACTACACTTTTATAAAACTGGGCAACAAAGAACTCGCTACAGTTGCTCTCCTCTAATAGACACCATTTTAATTTTTAAAATTTAACAGAAAGTGCTTTCAATGAGCTTCCTGAAAACACAAAAGTGTTAACTCACTGAATTAATCTGTACATGGAACCTGACTTGTAACAAAAACTCCAATGTTTAATTGTGGGTAAAGATAAACATAAGTAATTTTAAGATAACAACATGTCATTCATACTTGCTTCTCTTCCTGATGCAGATAACAAGCCGGAGCAGTAGTTTGCGGTGTGGTGTTACTGCTGGCAACACACATCCATGCCAACACTCATCTTTTCTTGCATGATAGCTTCTGGCTTGTTCTATTATTGAAAGAATATCATTGGCACGGAGGTTCAGTTCACCAAGATCTTTTATCCATTTAGCCTGGAGAGATTCTGAGTCAGCATCCTTTGGTGTTTTCAAGCATCCACCTATAAAATAATTCAAACAAAAGTGATACACTTAATTAACTATTGCAAAGATACTTAACCATATTAGAAGTCTGCATAGTACAGTCAGTACAGTGACTGGTTACAGACTGGATGACCAAGGTTAAATCCCCACCCAGCCTCCTATCCAATGGGTACCGGGGTCCTTTCCCGGGGGTAAAGTGTGGCTGGGATGTGATGCTGATCACTCAATCCCATCTAGCGCTGAGGTCAAGAATGAATATGAGCTATACCTCCTCTCCCCCCAAGCGCCTACATGGCGTATAGTGGGACAGCTTTACTTTACTTTACTTTACTTTATAGTTCAAAATATGTCTCCGTTTTCGAGGACAAGCTAATTAGGTGTCCAAACAGCAGTATGACGTTTCAGAGGTCATACTGCCTCCGTCATCAGGGCCCTGATGACGGAGGCAGTATGACCTCTGAAACGTTGGTTAACATCGACCAGACTACACAGCGCAACAACCCAGAAGACGGAAATCTTCATATTCTGAATATTTTAAGGTGGCAGGCAAAATAAAGCCCTTGGGAACAGAGAGGTTCAATGTATAAAGTATTACTGAACTACATTTACAACAAGGAATTAACAAATGTATATTACAGCTACATACTGAACAATGATGGTTTATGAATTCCTGCCTTTTTGGATATGTTTCTTTTTTCTTTTCAAGATACAACAGTAATTTCCACTAGATTACAAATACTACACTTTTATAAAACTGGGCAACAAAGAACTCGCTACAGTTGCTCTCCTCTAATAGACACCATTTTAATTTTTAAAATTTAACAGAAAGTGCTTTCAATGAGCTTCCTGAAAACACAAAAGTGTTAACTCACTGAATTAATCTGTACATGGAACCTGACTTGTAACAAAAACTCCAATGTTTAATTGTGGGTAAAGATAAACATAAGTAATTTTAAGATAACAACATGTCATTCATACTTGCTTCTCTTCCTGATGCAGATAACAAGCCGGAGCAGTAGTTTGCGGTGTGGTGTTACTGCTGGCAACACACATCCATGCCAACACTCATCTTTTCTTGCATGATAGCTTCTGGCTTGTTCTATTATTGAAAGAATATCATTGGCACGGAGGTTCAGTTCACCAAGATCTTTTATCCATTTAGCCTGGAGAGATTCTGAGTCAGCATCCTTTGGTGTTTTCAAGCATCCACCTATAAAATAATTCAAACAAAAGTGATACACTTAATTAACTATTGCAAAGATACTTAACCATATTAGAAGTCTGCATAGTACAGTCAGTACAGTGACTGGTTACAGACTGGATGACCAAGGTTAAATCCCCACCCAGCCTCCTATCCAATGGGTACCGGGGTCCTTTCCCGGGGGTAAAGTGTGGCTGGGATGTGATGCTGATCACTCAACCCCATCTAGCGCTGAGGTCAAGAATGAATATGAGCTATACCTCCTCTCCCCCCAAGCGCCTACATGGCGTATAGTGGGACAGCTTTACTTTACTTTACTTTACTTTATAGTTCAAAATATGTCTCCGTTTTCGAGGACAAGCTAATTAGGTGTCCAAACAGCAGTATGAGTAATAACCATCATAAAAATCTATGGAGAATTTTGACCTCTACAGCCCTTTGTTGCTTGAATTACATGAAGACCAAAAACTGAGGAAAACAACATAAAAACTAGATCTGTTTAATCACATCAGCATGCCCAGAAACAATTAGATGTAGGTGAGGAGGATGGTCTAAAAGTGAACAAATCATAAAATAAACTGCCTATTCACTGCAATCTTTTACCTAGAATTTTTTTAATAAAAACAGTTTATAAAGGATGTATCAAATTTCTCCTATACCAAAGTTTTAAAATGATGAGCCTGAGAGCATAGTTCACATACCTTTTCCAATCTGATCCCATATTTTTGTTTATTCTTTAAAATATTGGAAAATAGATGAGTTAGAGTGGCATGTACTTTTTAACACAGTGTACCATAGCTTCAGAATGATGAAACCTTTTTTTGTGTAATATAATATGTTGGCTTCCTTCCTGGGAACAGCAATTAAAAGAAAGGCACAAGTGGTCAAGTCTCCACAGCTGGTTGAAATAAAGCAAGATCTTGTTAGACTTCTTTGTCAGAGCACCGATAAACACTGCTTGTTAATTAAGTAGTCAACTGTTAAAGTAGCCTAATACAGTACGTTCACTGACAAAGTTGAAGACAACAGTCATTTTCTGGCTCCCAGCTGTAACTGTACAGCTCACCACCAAGCATTAAAAGGTTTCCCTGATACAAAGTATTGTTCAATAAAAACAATATAATCAACTCACCTATTTTGTAGGAGTTTGATATTCAGTTTGAAGACGTTTATAGCAAGTTTGAAAATGTTCCTGTCTTGGGTTTTCTTGGTCAGAGTTATTCGCTCTGAAGGTGGCAATGCCAGGTATGCCAAAATGTTGAAACACCTTCAATGTGGCTTACACCAAAATGCTAAAGATGTATACTTCAAAATGTTTCCATACTATAAAAGTTTCTGTTACTTTTAGAATCTCTCACTTTAATTAGCAGTATGTCTAATACATGTTTACCAAATATTTAAATATCCTTCAACTTCAAATGCAATCAATATAAAACCAAATATTCAAGCAAAACATTGGTGATGTGACCCATGTTGACTTGTACGTTTACAATCTAAAGTAAAATGTACCTGTTACATTTCCTGTTATGACAAAACGATACCAAGCACCACCTGCACATTCCACCATAAGGAGAGTTGTGGGCTCCATCTCGATCCCCGTCTCCTCTAACACTTCTCTCTTCACTCCTTCCTAAGCAGCAGCAAAATAGATGCATGTAATACAGTGCAAATTTAGTTGCCAAAATACCTGAGACTAACGCTGTTGGTTCATACAAAGCATGAACATACAGCATTAAACAAACCTATAAGAAAAGAGGAACTCCATGGAGCAGAGCCCTTCTTGAGAAACTGATACTACGCCCAACTATACAATAAAATCTCTGTCTTTAATGTAACCTGAATGTTCATTACTCCATTCATAAAAGCCCACCACTGGTCCTTATCCTGGGCCAAATTAATCCAATAAACACACCCCATCCACTCCTAATATCCATTTAATATTTTCTTCCATCTATGACCAGGCTTGCCAACCAAAACTCTGTATTCACTCATCTCCATCCTGCATTCTCCATGCCCTGCCCAACTCATCCTTCTTCATGTGATCACCCTAATATTTGATAAAGCATACAAATTATTAAATGCCATATAATGCAACTTATGAAGTATGTTATCATTTCATCCCTTATAGTTTCAGATATTCTATCAGCATCCTGTTCTCAAACACCCTTAGTCTGTGTTCTTTTCTGAATGCGAAAGAACAAATTTCCCACACATACAAACACAGCAGGTAAAAACTGTAGTTCCATATATTTTAATCCTCACATTTTTTGATAAAGTTTCTTAACTGCATGTTAGCAAGCATTTTCTGAATTTAATCTGCTTACACATGAAGTCAATGGATGAATAAATTTATATTCATTTATTTGTAGTGGTTCATCCCTGTCCATATGACATACATTTTATTTAAATAAGATAATATACATTTTCATAATCACTTAAATTTGTTACATGTGACATAGTTATGAAATGCCAACATTTGTGTAGTTCAGTTGAATAGAACAAAATTTATCTACATTCCGTATATTCTTCGCAAGGCCCAAACCAAGGATGTAGAACATGTCATAGCACAAATACAATACTTGTTTATAATATAAATTACATAGATATGGTAATGTACAGTCACCTTCTTTTTTTATGTTTAACTTTTGAACATTTAAATTGTTCTGGAAAAACTTATATTGCCATCATTTGATTGCAAAGATTTCTTAAGGGAACACTAATGCAGTCTGAACAGATTTAAAGTAGTTGTTATTTCATCATAACCACGTAAATCTTTTGATTGAGAGAATTTATTATACTTTCATTCACTGTTGTGGGTATAAGATATATGTTTTGAAAGGTTTTAGGGTAGAAACTGCTAGCAGCTTTTGTAAAACACAGTAATAAACCTTCAGGTTTAATACACAGCTTCTCAAAATGGACCCTGTTCCAAGGAGCTGGTTACACTAACCCCATTACAGAACTACTCTTTGATCACCACCAATACTGATGATATTTGAATACTTTTATTTAGTAATGTATTAAAGTACCATATGGTGTGCAAAATATTGTAGTTCAAATCTTAAGGGTTAAAGAAAAGACAAAATTCTGGAGTATGTATCTGAACTTAACCCCTGTAAGAGTACCATTCTATATACCGGGTCTTCAATTTATGCGGCAGCGGTCGTGACTTGCATTGCGTAGTCGGCCGAAGCACTGTTGATGTCGGCGAGAGTCGTGCCCGTTCTTCCGGTGGGTGACCGGCGTATCAGTTTCAGTGCCGCTAGTAACAGCGAACTACAAATATTTCTCGTCACTGATACATGTTATTACATTAATTGTTCTTACCTTAAATCACAAAAGATGTTCAAAGTGACTTCCTTGTGCTTGCAGGCAACTTCACATATCTCGTTAACATGTTTCGAAATACTCGACGAAGCTCTTCTTGGGAAATTGCCGAAATAATTGTCGAATATTTTCTTTAATTGCTTCTGCATGCGACTTTTACCTGTGGGGCATACTGAAGAAAAAAGTGTATGTAAACAATCCGCACACTGCAGAAGTAATTAAAGAAAATATTCGACAATTGATTTCGGCAATTTCCCAAGAAGAGCTTCGTCGAGTATTTCGAAACATGTTAACGAGATGTGAAGTTGCCTGCAAGCACAAGGAAGTCACTTTGTACATCTTTTGTGGTTTAAGGTAAAAACAATTAATGTAATAACATGCATCAGTGACGAGAAATATTTGTAGTTCGCTGTTACTAGCGGCACTGAAACTGATTCGCCGGTCTCCCACCGGAAGAACGGGCACGACTCCCGCTGACATCAACAGTGCGTCGGCCGACTACGCAATGCAAGTCACGACCGCTGCCGCATAAATTGAAGACCCGGTAGTATTAATCTTTACTAGAATCTCAATTTTGGAGCAAATACATATGAATTCTTGCTTAAAAAATCTGTCACGCTCATTCACTTGTTCCAGTATAACTTTATCAGTTTTCTCATCAGCTGTTATTCCATTCTTCACACTCTTTTGCCATATCCAAATTACTAACACATCCTCAAGGGCTTCAAGTTTTATATCCTTCAAAAAGTGCACACTTTTACATGATTTGTTCTTCCATTTATTTTCTCATTAAAAGTATCTCTGACACAGCACTAACTGATGGATGTGTTTACCCAAAAAAATGGAAGAAATACTTGGAAATATTTTGTTGGTTTGCAGCAGAATATTCTTCTTTGTAAATACACACATCTTACCTTAACAACACTTAACACAGCCCTTCCGTGTCACACAAATACAATTGATTGTGATTATAGACACATGTATCTGACTGTACTTTAACTTGGTTCCTCTACTACCAATCTGCAATTATATTCGAAGTATGTTTCCATATCAAATGTTAGTTATTCGAATGAAATGAGCAGAAAACACCTTCATTATGGAAGAGCCCACTAGCCATGTTAAATAAAAAAGAAGAAACTGTTCAGAACTTCGTAGAACAGTTTCAAAATCATTCTCTGGAAAGATTTTTCTTTCAAAATAATGCTTTAAAACGTACTTTCAATGTCCTAATAATTTACACTAGTTACTGACAGAATATACAATTTGACCATGGAATTGATATTCCAAGAAGGGCTTGAGCAGATACTTCCAAAAAAAGAATCTCTCGTTTTCTTAACCTGATCTAAAAATAAAATGTATTTTACATCCAGCCACAATGGTGATCCAATGCAACAACTTGACACGAAAGTGATCCATAGTACCCACCTCCAAACACACAAATTTGAATTACATATAATATAGTTAAGTGATAAAATCATTCTTATGCATGTATGTAGCTTGAATGGGGATAACGATAAATATGAAAATCTCCTTGAAACTGACTACCCTAAATAATAATAAGGAATATTATACAAACAGGTGGTTAAACAGATTTAAACAATTTATGATGGTGTCGAATTG